GTGAATAAAATTAGGGGTTCTAGGCATTTCTGCAGTAAACATCTTTGCCATAAAGCAGTTTTACTGCACAACTAATTGGCCGTAAGGCAGATCTGCCATAAAACAGAAAGTGACTGGTTGACAATTGGTTTCAGCTGTGTTATAACAACTTGATAGAAAATACAGTGATAAGAAAACTTACTGAAGTGTGAAATAAGAGAATGTAAAGCCAGACTGAATACTGTACTAGAAGATGATAATAACAGTTTGCTAATCCTTTCATGGGCACAGCCATCTCTCTCTTGTCAGAACCAAAAGTTTACCAATCTATGGCAAATATAAAAGCAGAGTCTAGTAATACATGACAGTGTTTCAGAGTATTAAGTATCAATTCTTTAGCTCATTTAGATATGACATCTCATCTTGTAATGTCACCTTTACCAGATTTATCACGCAATATTAGCAGTGTCAGATTTTATTTTTGGGGGCTCCAGAATCACTGCAGATGTGATTGCAGCCATGAAATTAAAAGACACTTACTCCTTGGAAGGAAAGTTATGACCAACCTAGATAGCATATTAAAAAGCAGAGACATTACTTTGCCAATAAAGGTCTGTCTAGTCAAGGCTATGGTTTTTCCTGTGGTCATGTATGGATGTGAGAGTTGGACTGTGAAGAAAGCTGAGCACTGAAAAATTGATGCTTTTGAACTGTGGTGTTGGAGAAGACTCTTGAGAGTCCCTTGGACTGCAAGGAGATCCAACCAGTCCATCCTAAAGGAGATCAGTCCTGGGTGTTCATTGGAAGGACTGATGCTGAAGCTGAAACTCCAATACTTTGGCCACCTCATGCGAAGAATTGACTCATTGGAAAAGACCCTGATGCTGGGAGGGGTTGGGGGCAGGAGGAGGAGGGGACAATAGAGGATGAGATGGCTGGATGGCATCACCGACTCGATGGACATGAGTTTGAGTAGACTCCGGGAGTTGGTGATGGACAGGGAGGCCTGGCGTGCTGCGATTCATGGGGTTGCAAAGAGTCAGACACGACTGAGCGACTGAACTGAACTGAACTGAACTGATTAGAAGTTGGAGGCAAAGGGAGACTCAAACTCCTCCAATATCCCCAAAATAAATGGTTACATGATTCTTGGTAAGTTTTATGAAAATAGTGACATTTTTTGTTATTTGATAGTGGAGAACATGATGTAGACAGAATTTTGGTATTTGGCACAGAATCTGGCTTAGGTGATTTGGTGAAATGAGGACTGTCATGTAACATTTAATGTAGTCCAGATATGCACTGCTTTATATATATGTTTGTCTATGTTATATATATATATGTGTATATATACATGTATGTATGTGTGTATATATATATATATATATATATATATATGTATGTATATATATGTAGCATCATCCCTGTCTGTTCATTCTACTTACAGGGAAATCTGAAGAGTCTTACAGCAGATTTTTTTTATATCATGAAGATGTATGTCCAACATTAGACCCTGAATCATTAATTATTGACTTTGAAAAAGGAAGTATCATTGCTTTCACAATGTTTCAAGTAGTTTTAAGGTTTTGTTATTAGTTTTTCAAGTTTTATTGTGTCCTTTTTAATGTCCCTATTTTAATTTATTTTCATGATTTGTCTTTTATGGTAAAGCTGTCCTGAAGTCAATTAGTTGTATGGCGAAAGTTCTTGCAGCAAAGATTCTTACAGCGAAAATACCAGACTGCATAGGGTTATGAAAGAAACCAATTAGACTGATATACAGTTATCAGTATACCAAAAAAGTAATGACATAATATCCACCCTTTATTGATAGCCTCCAAAAACCACCTCCTTGTCTTGTCCATCCCACTGCTCCTTCTTCTGCCAGCCTGCTCTTCCTTCTGTGTGCCCAATTCTGTTGGTGGCATTAACAACCTCCACATGGCTCAGGCCCAGAACCCAGCTTGAGCAAGTAAGTGAGCATTGTTCCTGCCAGGATTACTGCCCCAGTCTCCTTGATAATATCTGTGGAAGTATACACTTGTATATTTTAAAGCACTGATAGGTCATTTCCTTTACCTGGAATGTCTTCTAAACTTCTGCTCACCTTGCAGGGTCTAGTTCCTCCTTACTTCTCTTTCCAACGCACACATCTGGTCACATTATGGTTTAAAATCTCTTGGTGATGCCTCTTTATCTCCATGATATGACATCAGAGGACTCCTGCGGCCCTCGCAGTTTTCTTCTGTTGGTCTCCCAGCCTCACCAGGCTGCCTGTGGTCCCTCTGGTGGCCTGCCTCCCACTTCCCCCTTTGCCTTGGCAGGCTGAGTCAGTGCCCTCTGCTTGGGGATCCGTCACCTGCCTTATGGCCTCCAGGTCTCAGTTCTATGGCTGCTTAGCTGGGAGGCCTTTCTCAGCCAACACTATCACAAGGACTGTCCACAGAAAGTTCTTGTCCAACCATCTCCCGCTCCCTATCATTTGACCAGAGTCCAGCAGAGTTTCACAAGTGGTATGCTCGGAGGAGGACAGCATTATTATTGCACGTGGTTAGCAGCACTGACTTTAGAGCCAGATGACCTGTGTTCTAATCCCAGCTCCACCACTCGCTCTTTGATCTTGGCAAGGTACTTACTCTTTAGAGGCTTCAGCTTCTCATCTGTGAAGCTGGCAAAATAATAGATTGGTGTGGTTTAAATGAATTACTCTCTTGAAGCACTTTACAACCATGCCTGGCTTCTTGTGAGAACTTAAATATTAGCTATTAGTTCAGTAAGTTTTGTAATATTAGTTTTAGTTTAAGTAGCATGGCCTGGGCTTATTTGGAAGTCACGTATTATACTTCTATTTTTGCTGGAGTTTTATTAAAGACTGTCATGTAATTCAAAACCCAGTGTTTAGCTGTTCTTCATCTCTGCTGAGGATTTCAGAACATCGATTTTAACAGAAATAATTTATATTAGACAAAAGGAAATACTGTTTGAAAGAAAGACAGGAATAATCCTGGGGATACAGCATCTTAACAGAATGATGGAGACACAGTCCCACCAGCAGTTAGCTCGCTGAGTTGGGATGTATCCAGGGTTCTTACATTTCAGACATTTATGCTGGTCTCACAGGAATTTTTCTTGCAGCCCTTTGGGTAAAGGAGAGATCAGTGTTATATATCAGAGTATTTATCTGGGAATGCAAATCATTATATACACTTGCAAGCCAGATCCACAGGTTTTGAATGTAATTATAATACTTTTTCTTTTGCATGAATATTTTCATACCCTCTATAAATATTCTGGTCTGTGGGAAAGAAACTTTTCATGATTCCTACCACACATTGTATGTGATGTTAATGTGCTCTTATCACTCATCCTTTTCTTCTCCTCCTTTTTCCTCCAACGGCAAGTATTTCCCCTGAGGTTTAACTGCTTCAGCCTTTTCTTGGTTTTGCCACCAGGTGGGGCACTGGCTCCTTTATAACGCATGGGCCAAAATCTTGAAGCTGCTTTTCTCATTGAGGTGGCTGTCTTGCTCCCCCTCATTCTGAACTGGCTTCTGGAGAAACTGTTGAGCTCTGACCCTGGGAGTGGGTGGGGGAGGGCGGAGGGCGAGTGTTAGATCGAGGGAGTTACAGGACTTTCCATGTCTGATCCGGTTGAGCTAATATGCTAATGACATGTTTCACTGGTTTGAATAACTTGGATTTTTACCGTAAATACATGTAAATCTACTTGGCAACAAAAGAATCAAGTGTTATTAAAGTACGTGGTTAGTATTGCAAAATTTCCTTGGAATATTTGGTCTCATCTTTATGGCTCGGAAGAAACATTGAATTTGGTAATCTTGACCATTATGTTAAACAGGTCTTCTAAAAATAAGGTAGAAATCATGGAAACAAAAATTAAAACTGCTCTTGTGTTGAAAACTTGGGGAAAATTGTATATACCATGAGCACTTTATGTTAAAAAGCAGAGCATGGATTTTTAATTCTTTCTTAAGAAACAATATGTTGGAACATTATTTTTTAAAATAAATGTCTTAAGGAAACTATCAATTATGTTTTTTAGAATGAAAAATAAATTTCTTATTCTAAAACCATAGTGAGTCATATTAAGCTCTAGTTTAAACTATAAACAATTAAAAAACTACCAAAAAAAACCTCTTTTGTTTTATAAAATAACCTAACTGTAGATGATAGAATTGAATTACAAGTAATTTTCAGATTTTTAGACACCATGTCAAACTGAGAAGATAGATAGTTCTTTGATAAGTTTTCCCCCTGAACTTTAACTTTTAGAATTCAGTGATTAATGAGGTTTTTTGCTTGTTTAATGTATTTTAAGAGACTTCCCTGGTGGCAGTAGTAAAGAATCTGCCTCCCAATGCAGGAGGTGCAGCTTCAATCGCTGGGTCAGAAAGATCCTCTGGAGTACAAAATCACAACCCACTCCAGTATTCTTGCTGGAGAATCCCATGGACAGAGGAGCCTGGCGGGCTACAATCCATGGGGTTGCAAAAAAGGAGTCCAACTTGACTTAGTGACTAAACACAACAATATATTTTAAAAATCAGGGAATAGTGATAGCATGTAACTTTGATTCTCAGAAGCAATAACTTAATATGGTCCCTCTTGGGCAACATGAAATTATAGTGCTGTATGTTCCATCACCACCACCACCACCAACTTGGGCAACAATATAAAGCTCATTTCATGGCCCTAGTGGAGGACAGACTGTATTCCTCTTGTTTAAAATGAATGAGTCACTTTAAGACAGCATCTGAAGGGAGAGAAAGGAGTGAGAATGCTCTTTGTTTAAGTTGGTGTGTTATGGTTTTCTTGGGCACCAAGTACAAAAATGAAGCCCAAAGTCTTAGCTCATTCTGTAAGTGGATTTTATTTCTCAGAGCAGCCCAGTGTCTATTTAACATATGGGAGTGGTTTCAAGTTCATTACTAAAGCTTATAGGCTAAAGTGCTTTGTGGGCTTGGCTATGACTTAAGTTGCCTTTGGGGAGTCAGCCAAAAACGGGCTTCAAAACGGATTGCTTTCCTGTGTCTGAATTCTCAGGGTGGTCAGTTTCTTTTCCCCTCTCAGCTGTCAGCTGCTCTGGAGATTAGTTTCATACTAAGGATTCTTTCTTTAAAGCAATATGAAGCGACTACTTTCACGGGGGCACCAGGTTAGTAAATAACATTTTGAACTTTCTGCTTCATGTATCAGACTTTCTGTTCTCACGGGGCGATGACATGACAGTCGGCATGGCATTTGTGCTGTTGCTGTGTTTTTTTAGAAAATAATGTTCATTGATCCTATGGAGGTCTAAGGCTTTTAGTCTTCCTTGTAATATATGCATTGTTGGACAATATTAAATGCCGAAGGAAGCCATGAAGTAATGACTGGTTTTTGTTAGATGTGCAGACTAAAAATCTCTGCTTGTTTGTATGCATTTTCAGTCCCTTTTTCAGAATTCCTTTCATTGTATCTTCTCATTATGTCTTCTAGTAATAACTATGATTTTATACATGGTTTATTTTACTTTTTGGAGCACAAGGCAACAGTGTCCTGTGTCCCAGCCAGCATGCAAGCTTGTCTGATGTATGGTTTTCTCTAGGGCCTATTACTTATAGTTAAAGGAACCAGAATATCATTTTAATGTTCTTTTTGAAAAGCCTGGCATTTTTCTAGAATGCCTCAGAAAATACCTGTGTAACAGTTGACGTGGACAGAGTGCACAGGTGGATCAAGCTGAACTGAATCCCTTCCTTAGTCATCACTGTTTTTCTTAAGTGATTCCTCAGGATTGAAGATTACTCTAGGAGTAAATATGACAGTCAAAATGGAGTGTGCCTAGTAAGGCATGAAATTATCGCTGCTAGTATTAAAATGAAATTAAGTCAATAAAGTGAAGTATCAAGAGAATATCTTCCTTAATTTCATTAACTTAGACATCTCGAGAACAACTTTACCTTTGTTCACTTGTCACCAAAGCAACCTGGTATTAAATAGTTTAACAAGAGTAGTTCGATTTGATGATATTTTCAATTTTGTATATGAAGTACTTATGAAGTGTAAGTATTCTTATGAAGTATACTGGCTTTTATGTTACTTTAGGTATGGTTTAGTTCAAGGTAAGCACTAGTATTTTAAAATGTGTGAATAGACTTCTATTATTACCATTTTAATCTTCTCTTTCTTTTCCCTGCTGGGAAATACCGTGTTTCAGAAAGGGTCTGTTCTCTCATGTTCTCTTCTGTCTAAAAATATAAAACTGAGGGAGAAGGAGGTTTAGCAAATCACCTCAGAGAAAGATCTCACCTCAGAGATCTTTCTAAGTATAATATCTATCATTATAGATATTATAGATATCTATAAGTATCTATTATACTTAGAAAGATCTCTGAGGTGATTTGCTAAACTTTAAAGTTCCCAGTCCTATCTCTGCTGAGGCTGAAGTTATAAAGTTATGTGTGCATGCCATCTCAGGATTGCAAAATGGACTGGACTTTATCTCCCTGAGACACAGTTGTACAGCTGTATTATTGCCCCTGTGTCTACAGATATTTTCTTCAACTGTAAATAAAAAAAAAAAAAACCCAGAGATTGCTATGATTTGCTTAATATTAATATATGTTAGTACTGCATAGTGCTATTATTATTAAATACTATTAACTTAAAATTTTAAAGAAGACTTTTGTCAATCTGATTATAGCTGCTCTCTGATTTTAAAGGACAGTGTTAAGTCATTCTACTTGTTGATTACTCGTTTGTGCATGGAAAATTGGCATGGATAAGTCTTAAAAAAGCTCATGTCAGACTCAGTTATGTCTGGTAGGTCTCAATTTCTAGATTCCCAAGTGCTTCCCAGCCTTTTCTTCTACAGATGATAACAAAACAAAATACTACTGATTAGAAACAGAAAAAAACCAGCGTGACAAAGGGTAGAATAAGAGAGGAAACTCCATAAAAACCAGGTTTTAGGGTTTTCCTAAAGAGTATCCATTACAGTAAGCTTCCTCCAAACATGACGGGAATAAAAGATTGTACAACAGAGTGCTCAAAATCTGTAACTTGGGATCGAAGCAAATCTTATTCTTGATTCCAGGCTTAGCACACACATTGCAATTCTCGTTCTCATCTTGCCTTACATTTCTGCCTTTTGGCTAAAATCAAGTAGAGACGGGCATTTTTCCCATTCCATATCAGGTTAAACTCTGAGCCGATTAAATTTTATCCAACATGCTTTCTTGTTAACAGTCAGAAGTACTCCAGATGCCTCATAAATCTCAGATGGTTATGAACATAGTTTATGTTCCAGAAGCATGTGATCCTTATTTCCTTTTAAAACAAAGCTTAGATTCAAAGTTGGAGACAAATCCTAGGGCAGATTATTTCAGCACAAATTGGCCCATACTCCAAACATTGGGAACGGTGGATGTCACTAGAAGATAAGGACTTGGAGGAAAGAAATGAATAATCAGGAGGAATGGTGATATTAGGAGTTGGTTTTCTGACTTCTGAACCTTGATAAATGTTCACCTATCAGCCGGGTCTGTTCATATCCCAGATCAGTCTCATTCCTGCCCATCAGTTGGATCTTCACTGTGCGTGTTTGGGGAGCTGTCAGCTGTTGATTTACAGTTTCTGGTCTTATCAAATTCATGTATGGCCACCTTTGCCTTTTTCATACCTAAGTCACTGAATCCTTGTTCCCAACCCTGCTCATTAATGGTGCCCACATGAATGGGTCTTGTGCTTACATTATCAGCAACTCAGACAGAAGGCAAGAGATGCTGTGATAGCACCCACCTCAGAAATTCACTATTTTAGTAATGACAGTACGTACTAACTTCCCAGAGGGATTGCAAAGGCTGAGGACAGGTTCTATTCTCAGGACTGATCTGACCATAGACATCCCCCATTCCCTCTTTCCTTCTAAAGAACCCAAATTAAGTTTGACCTTCTGGCATTTCTGGAGGTGATGATATTAGTAATCATGGCAGGAGTAGTAGAGGGAAGGTAATAGTAATAATAACAGCTAACACTCAAAAAGCATTTTCGAAGGGCCATCCCTTGTGTCAGCCTCTTATTTAATCTTCACAACAACCCTAAGACATCAATTGTCTGTATTATCCCCACTTTACAGTTGATGAAACTGGCCCAGGGAAGTTACATAATTAGTCCCAAGTCATAACAACTAATCGGCAGTAATATGTTGTGCCTCAGAGAGGCGATGTGGTGGGGAAGAAATGGAGTGAGAAGCTGATGTCTTTGGGAAATATAATCCAATTGAGAAGCAACCATGAAATACTATTATCTGTGCTGCACTTCCTTCTCAAAGATGCTTCTGTTGACCCACCATCAACCAGTAAGGCCTGTCCTTTGTGTTCTTTTTCCACTGGGTGGGCATTGAGCTTGTGTTCTGCTTTCTCACATGTTCTGCTGGTGGTGAGTGGAGAGAACCAGTGGCGGAGCAGAATGCAGAGCTTGGTCAGTGGTCAGTAAACGAGACCAATGGTGACCAGTCCCTGTGGAGAATAACCCCACAGTTTTAAAAACTGTCTTTTAAATGCATAAGCTAATCTTGGAACCTTTGAGACTTTTTAAGGCTAAAATAATAAAACCACTAAGGCTCAAACCTGGGCCTTTTGCTTGTTTAGGTTTTATTTGGCCTGGATGAGTGGTGTCCTCTTCATTCCTGACCAGTGTGATTTCCTGCTGACAATCAAAGTTCTGGTTATTTTGTCATTGCTGAAGGTTTTCTTAGTGGAAAGCCAAGAATATGAGACGTGTATTTCCTTTAAAAACATAAATGTGCATTTGAAAATGTTGTGCAAATAGCTTACTCTAGATTTGGTCAAAGCTTAAACACGTGACAAATAAGTTTGGAATCTTTAAAAATACCATCCATAGGTTAAGGAGTTAAATTTAAAAAAAGAAATCAAACAATAATTCTAACCATTGGATTGGGAAGTACTTTCTCTTCCTAAAACCAGTAGTTGTTGCTTAGTCACTAAGTTGTGTCTGACTCTTTTTTGCAACCCCATGGACTGTAGCCAGCCAGGCTCCTCTATCCATGGGATTTCCCAGGGAAGAATACTGGGGTGGTTTGCCATTTCCTTCTCCAGGGGATCTTTCCAACCCAGGGATCGAACCTGCATCTCCTGCAATGGCAGATGGTTTCTTTACCACTGAGCCACTTGGGAAGCCAAAAACCAATAGAGGAAATCACAAAAGGATTAGGGCAATAGATTGGGATTTTCCAGATAGGAGTGCAAAAGCTTTAACTTTAATATTTACAAAAATATTCATTGAAGTGTTATTTATTATCATGAAAAGTTGGTAACAATTGAAATACACACTAGAAGAAAATTGCATAATGGATCATTAGGCTGCTATTACTACTTAACTTATGAAAAATTATCAGGGTAGGAAATGGTGGTGACAGATATTTAAGTTAAAACACTGGATCTCAAACTATTTGTGTCTCTCATACTTGGCCATGTTTAAAATATATCTCTCTGTATGTGTTATTCTTAGGGAGACAGCAGAAGGGATGGTCACATCAAGTTAATAGGGATTTAGGGATTATTTTAAAAGTAGGAATTTCTGGCAGTTTTAATTTTCTTCTTATAGTCTTCTGCATGTTAATATTTATGTTTCCTTTCAGTTCAGTTCAGTCCCTTTATATTTGAAAAATATATAACTTATTCATGGAAAGAGAAAAATGAAGACAAGATATACAAATAATAGTAACTTGCTGCTAAGTCACTTCAGTCATGTCTGACTCTGTGCGACCCCATAGACGGCAGCCCACCAGGCTCCTCCGTCCCTGGGATCCTCCAGGCAAGAGCACTGGAGTGGGTTGCCATTTCCTTCTCCAATGCATGAAAATGAAAAGTGAAAGTGAAGTCGCTCAGTCGTGTCTGACTCTTTGCGACCCCACGGACTGCAGCCTACCAGGCTCCTCTGTCTGTGGGATTTTCCAGGCAAGAGTACTGGAGTGGGGTGCCATTGCCTTCTCCAAATAGTAACTGAACATCACCTATAATCTATTTAAGATGGTAGCTCTAAGAATGATTTTAGTTTCCTCAAATAGTTTGCAAATTTAAGGTTTCCTTTAAGAGGAATTTATGTTTTATAATAAAAATAGATCAGGAGTCAGACAGGTGAGAGCTGAGG